AGAGGGGAAGGGGCGCCCTCGCTGGTATGGCTAAACTGGCTGGACACGAGCGCGTGCACCAAAAAGTTGCTGGTCCGATCAGTTGCCGGCTCAATCCCTGGTAGGGGGCGTGCAGGAGTCAGCCAATGGGTGTCATGCTCTCACATTGATGTTTCTCTCTCCATCTCCCTTCCTCTCTAGAAATCAATAAAATATTAAAAAAAAAAAAAAAGAAGGGAAGGAGTAATGAAGGTGAATATCTACCCTGGGAGGCTTTGAAGGCTGAAGTGAAAACAGATTCCCTCACAAATGTAAATTATTTATGTCTGAGATTATAAGTAAACTCACTTCACAGGAATGCTTGAGAAATGAGATAGCAGGAGTGTAGTGGGAGAACTGAGGGGAGGGGAGGACCAAATCCTTTAATACAGGAACTCTGAGTGGAACAGTAAGAGTGAGGAAACACAAGCCTTCATATAATACTGAATTAACTACTGCCATTTAAACTCTGATGCAAATGTTTACCTTACATAATCCAGCTGATGATAACATGACTATAAGCCTATTTACTTAGCTGTTGCAAGAGCCTCAAATCACAGCAAGCAGCAAAAAAGAATTAAACTGCAGGTAAGTAATAGGTGAAATAAGAACATAGTAGGTAATACTAGGCACTGACAGCCCAATTCGAATTGGTAGACTCCAGAAAGTAAACTCTGGTAGAGAGGGGAAGAAAAGCAACCCTTACTAAAGATACCCTATGTTTAGGACCATGAAACATATTTGGTACTTTTTCCCTTAATCTCTTTAGTCTGATCTTCACAAGAACATGTTTGTAGTGGTATTATATCCTTTTTGCAAATAAGGAAATTAACACATAAAATTTAAGATGATCCAAATCACATTAGTAAGAAACTACAGGATCAAGGCACAAACTGAGTTGTTTGGTTCAAACATGGCATTTGCCTTAATCACCCCTTAAATGCTTCCAACCTGTAAGAAGAAAGCCTGGAGGTGAATTTAGATCCTACATCATCTGTGTAAGCCTACAAAGGATAATAAAATTAAAAACAATAAAAAACAATGTTACAAATAATGTTACAGCAGCAGCCAAAGGACATAAGGAGATGTCACAGAATTATAACTCTAGTAATAACAATTCACCAGGAGGCTGAAATAAAATAAGAGGTCACAATTAACTTTCAGGAAATCAAGTTTTAATCAGGAAACACTTGTTATTTCCCTAAAACTTTCTAAATCTATTCATAATACATTATTACTTTCTTGATAATTCAGAAATCTATACCAGTTCACAACTTAATTCTCCAAAGTAGAAGACCGTAAAAAAAAATACACACAACACATACAGATCTAGTATCAAATATGATGACCATAGGACTCGATAGAAGTTACTTTCATAATAATTCACAAAATCCTAGTAAAGTACTTTAAAATATCAGATTGGATAAGAAATGACAGATAATCTATCTGGTCCCATCATTTTGCAACTGAATAAAAAGCTGCTCAAAGATCTCCTCTGTCCAGAAAGCAGAGAATCAAAATTTGAAATAAAGAAAGTAAAGAAGCAGAGAGATTATATTTAATGAGGTTCCTAGATCATCGATAACTAGACACACAAACTAAATATGCCTTTAAAATAACTTTGGAGCAAGTATTGCACAGAAGTGATATGAAGGCTATCCCTAGAAGCAGGGAAACAGTATATACAATATACTAAACCCTCACTATAATTGTATTCTTCACATCTATTTCTAGATTCTATACAAGAGTTTTATAGTGAATGTAAAATACATCCATGTAGGTGCATGGCACCAGTCTAACTAAAAAATGACTAAAACTGAAAGTCATTCTCCTTCGGAAAGATTTTAGATGTAAATCCTCAATTCTTAGCCTCACCCTAATTCATTTGAGTTTTAAAATGTCAAGTCACTGTCCTCAATTTCCACCTAAATAGAAGTTTTTCCTCTAGTAAACACAGGAATTCTTCCCCTATTCTAAAGATTATCTTACTTAAATCAGTACCACAAATAAGGATGTTTGAATATCTTGCTACTTTTTGCAAAATATCAATTCACCTTTTAGCATTCTAGCTGCAACTAATACTTTAAATTATTTTAATAAAAAAATTTTACCATTAAAACCACCTAAAAAACAAAAATTAAAAATAAACCAAAATATCTGCAAAAACTGTATACAAGCATTGTATCTCTACAGTTTTATCAAGGACACAAAAAGCTGTCACTGAAATATACAAGGACAATGCTGCCATCTAAAGGCCAAGATATAACATGAAAAAGAAAAAGTATCCTCAAATACTGCCAATGTACAAAAACAACCAATTTGATATGTTAAAATCAACACAGTTTATATTTAAATAAAAACACTATGCTATGGTGTTACATAGACTACACAATGAGGCTCTAAAACTCTTTTTAGAAAATTCAAAAGAGTGTTAGCAAAATAATTGGGCTAATAATGATTAGTGTCTGTGCAGGTTACATTCTGTTGGCATCCTTTCAGACACAGTACTCTCCTACGTATTTCTATTAGCTCTTAATTTAAAATATTTATCCTATTTAACCATGTTTATATTTCCTGTTTGTAGCAACATACAATATTAACTATATATTTTCATATATAAACATTATTTGCCTTTAACCAGGCCTCTATTATTTCTGCTTACCCTATTTAAAATATTCCTTGTTAAATGACTATTAATAACACTTATCAGAGTTAAACAAACCAACTACTTAAAATTGTAATTTTGCAAGTAATTCAAATACTTCTCCTTATTTCATGAATTCCAAAAACACTAAGCAAAGTTGGGAGGTTAGTTATCAATAACTCAATTGTTCAATATAAAGAGTTCAAATTATTCTAAATTTCCTTTTCTAAGAATCTTAAACTGGAAGAAAAAAACTTCGTTAAACAACTTTCTCTAATATCTCGTAAAATTACTTCAAATTTCCAAAATCAAATATTTACTGAATAACCCTATAAACACAACTGATTCCCTTGGCATTTAAGTATATAACAACTTTTTAATGGACCACAATATTAGGGAAAAGCTAATGTGAACATAACTAGAACCTTCAAAACATATACAGTTAAAAAAAAAAAAACATATACAGTTAATTCCTTTGGCAACCAACTGACTAAAATTTCTAATGTGTCAAGAAAAATGTTTCTGTGTTTACTTAACAAGAAAAGAAATATTATTCACTCAACAAATATTCCCGTTATGTGATAAATGCAAAAATCCTAAAATGGGATTACCATCCTTTAATTTATCTTGAACGTAAAGTAGAATATAACAGACAACAAATATAGTCATAACCTCATAAAAACTACTAGTTTTTCATGTGTCAGAGTTTGTATTAGACAATTTAAGGACATTATGTCATTTAATCTGCAAAGCCACAACTTGCAAAAAGACAAGTATTAACCTCATTTGCAAATGAGGGTCAGAGAGCTTAAGTAACTTATCCAGAGTCACAAAGCAAGTAAGTGGATAACAGGATTCAAAATCTCAGTCTCTCTAACTCAGAAGATCTTATTCCCTCTACAAGATCTTAATTATTACATTTAAGTTTAAGATCTTAATTAATACATTTAAGTTTATATTAAATATAGTAAAGAGAAAAGTGAAATATGTTTACTACATAATTACAGAAACAAATATAATTCTATGTGGTGATAAAAGCATTTAATTTTAATTCAGTGTTTCAATTTTTCTAACTGGAATATTTTAAAATAGCATTATCTGCTAGAATAGCTACCATCAACAAATCAATAAACAACAAATGCTGGCGAGGGTGTGGAGAAAAGGGGACTCTAGTACACTGCTGGTGGGAATGCAGACTGGTGCAGACACTATGGAAAACAGCATGGAGTTTCCTTAAAAAACTAAAAATTGAACTGCCATTTGATCCAGAGACCCCACTTCTCGGAATATATCCTAAGAATCCTGAAACACCAATCAGGAAAAATATATGCACATCTATGTTCATGGCAGCACTATTTACAACAGCTAAGATCTGGAAATAACCCAAGTGCCCATCAGTAGATGAGTGGATAAAAAAGCTGTGGTACATTTACACAATGGAAAACTATGCATCTGTAAGGAAGAAAGATCTCTTGCCCTTTGTGACGACATGGAGGGACCTTGGAGAGTATTATGCTAAGTGAAATAAGCCAGTCAGAGAAAGACAATATGGAATCTAATGAACAAAACAGATCCAGAGACATGGAGCATGGAACAGACTGACAAATCTCAGAGGGGGTGGGATTTATTTATTTGGGATTAACCAAATAACTTATATGCATATATGCATAACCCACGGACACAGACAATAGTTCGGTGAAAGCCAGGGGGAGTGGGATGGAGGGGGTCGATGGGGGAAAAAGGGAGGACATCTGTAATACTTTCAATAATAAAGATAAATAATAACAATAAAAGAAATGTATAAGACATGAAAATGATAACTATTAACATGAAAAATTGAATAAATCTATTTAGTTCTTTTTAAAAAATAACATTATCTCACTTGAATTGATGATGCTTCTAGAAACCTTTCAAAACTTACATTAATAAATAAGATGTATTTATCAAATTTTATAAACTAACTCCAAGGGGCAACCAAAAGATCTTATTTGGGGGATACAATGAACAAGCAAGTCTTCTTTGTAAATATGCTACCTATTCAAGACCACCTTGCCTATTTTAAAGTACATCCACATACTTATGTTTGACAACTAAAACTTAATTTTTTCCAATACACCAGAGTCAGTCAACTGTCATACAAGTGCCACGCATAAGCACCTACCTAGACCGTTAGAGGATCAATTTGTAAAATCATTGTTTTGAGAGCATTCTTGCTTTAAGTAATACTTGCCTCTAAACCACCAAAAATAATAAACAGAAGAAAATGTATAAGCTAAGTTATAAGAAAGTCAAAAGTTAGAAACAAAATAAAAAACACAAGGATAATATAAGTACTTACTAATTTGTTTTCCTGCATGTATATCCTTTGTAATTTCAGACATCCCTTAGCTATGACGATCATGCCTTCATCTGAGATCTTGTAACACTGGCCAAAATGAATATCTTTGAGTTCTCTGCATTTTGAGCCCAGCTGCAAACAAAAAGATTTGGCTAAATGCTTAGAAAATAACAAAGCTAACATATGTCTAGTGAAATTTCCATACAATTTTTTTAAAATAGCAATACCAAAATTAAATAATTATTTATAAACTACTTTCAAAATAAAATACAAATAATCTATAATTTAAAACAGTATTGTGTAAGCCTTTCTACCTTCTATTTCCTTACTTCAACTACATCACACTATATGCCCACATAAGTGTCTAGATTGCTTAACACTTCAAATTCACATCTTTATTTTTCTTGAGTCTTTATATCAGTTATAGTGTTACTCTGAATGGGGACACCAGTCCAAAGAATAAAACAAAGGTCCAAGAAGTGAAACAATGTACCAGTGAGTAAAAGAATTTAATTCATGATATTCTAGTTCTATTTCTGATTGCCCCAATGCATCATTTATTTCCTTCAGCTCAATTACTCTGTGAAAAAGAAAAAGTTAGTATGCTACAGTTAATATTCTAGTTACCAGTACTTATTTAATTTACACACTGTAGTGCATAAACTAAAAGAACTAATGTTTCCTGGTTGGAATCCCAACTGCACCTTAATTAACGAACAAGCACAATGTTTCCATTTAAAAACATTAAGTATCACAAAGAACAAATTACATGCATATCTTTTCAAAATCTAAAGTGGAGATTAGATCAGCAAAGCAAACTATAAGAAACTTACTTTAATAACAACCGATATATAAAAAATTAGCACAAGGTTACATAAAAACAATAAAACCCAGTGTTGGCAAGGTCCAAATACGCTAATAACCACTGATTAGAGTGTAAATTAGTAATAAAAATTTTCCTGGAGGGCTACTTACCATAAATTTAAAAAATTATTAAAATGTGCCTGAAAAATGTATGACTCCATTTCTAAATATCTACTAAAAAATTAACTAATGAGGGATGGATAATTGGATAGATATGTAGTCAAGTAAGCATACTAAAATGTTAATCATATAATCTAAGGAGTGGATAAATAAGTGTTTATTATAAAATTCAAATATTCCATATATTTAAAACTTTTTAAATTGTTGGAATAATCAACTAAAGGTGGGTTGGTAAGATTTAGCTATAAGAAATTATTTAAAAAGCAGTAAAAAACAAAAACAAAAAAAAACACCTAACAGTATGAATTAGGGTGCTTTCATAAAGTTATTATATAGCCATTAAAACTGAAGCAAACACAACAAATAAAAATGAAAAATTTTACCTAAGTTTTTATAGCATAATCTAATTTTATAAACAAATGTTGCATATTTAAATATACAGATAGGTATATGTATATAGAAAAGAAATTAAAATATACAACAAAGTGGCCCTGGCCGGTTTGGCTCAGCGGTTAGAGCGTCGGCCTGCGGTCCCGAGAGACCCGGGTTCAGTTCCCGCTAAGGGCATGTACCTCCGTTGCAGTTTGTCCCCGGCCCTGGTTGGTTGTGCGGGTGGCAGCCACTAGATGTGTCCCTTCACGTCGATGTTTCTCTCTCTCTCTCTTTCTCTCTCTCCCTCCCTCTCTATCTGAACAAAAAATGTCCTCGGGTGAGGATAAAAAATATATATATATACAACAAAGTGCTAACAGTGGCTAGTTAGTGCAGTAATGGGTAGTGGTGTTTTTGTTTTTCCTTTGCTACCTATTAATCTCATATTTTTTAAAAAAGTAAACATTATATTCATAAAAAAATCTTTCAGGTTCTGTTTCAAGTACTGATACTACCCAAAAAGGTAAGTGATTTCAATTAATTTTCTAGAGGTGGTAATATATAGAAACTATGTTTTTGTGTGTTTTGTTATTATTGCTGTTTTTTGTTAATCCTCATCTGAGAATATTTTTCCTTTTTTTTTTTTTTTTTTTTTTTTAAAGAGAGAGGAAGGAAGAGAGGATGGGGAGAGAGAGAGAAATATCGTGATGCAAGAGAGACACATCAATTGGTTGCCTCCTGCCCGACCCCAGCCAGGGCTGGGGCCTGCAACCCAGGTATGTGCCTTTGACCAGAATCAAGCCCATGACCCTTCTTTCTGCAGGCTGCCACTCTAACTGCTGAGCCAAAGTGGCCAGGGCTGTATTTTTTTTTAATCCTCACCCAAGGATATTTTTCTATTTATCTTCAGATAGTGGGAGGGAGAGAGAGGGAGAGAAAGGGAGAGAGGAAGGGAGGAATGGGAGGGAGGGAGGGAGGGAAGGAGGGAGAGGGAGAGAGAGAGAGGGAGGGAGAGAGAGAGAGAGAGAGAGAGAGAGAGAGAGAGAGAGAGAGAGAGAGAGAGAGAGAGATATCAACTGGTTGCTTCCCACATGATCCTGACCAGGGCCGGGACGAACCGCAACCGAGGTACATGCCCTTGGTCGAAATTGAACACACAACTCATTGGTCTGCGGGTGGACGCTCTATCGCTGAGGAAAACTGGTCAGAGCTATTTTTTTTTATTATTGATTTTAAAAGAGGAAGGGAGAAAGAAACATCAGTCGGTTGCCTCCCACACATGCCCCTACCACGGATTTAACCAGCAATTTGGGTATGTGCCCTGACCAAAAATCAAACCTGCCACCTTTTGGTATAGAGGAGGATGTTCAACCAACTAAGCCACACATGCCAGGGCAAACCATGTATTTTAACATATACTACACTATAAGAAATTATATATTCCACTAGATATATAAACTTCATGAAGACAGAAGTTTGTTTTATTAACTAATATATCCCAGGTACCTGCCCAGTGTCTTAAATTTAGTTGATATGTAGTAAATACTTGCTGAATGAATAAAAGGTTAATCAGTTTATGCACTATAGAAGCCACTTTGAAAAATGTGGACAAATATAAGAAATTATGATTATGGTCTCAAAATGTTTCAGTTAATTCAGGAGTTGTAAATTGGGTCAATGGGTAGAATTCAGAGATTCCAGAAAAGTGAATACAAAATAAAGAATACACTTTTATTTTCATACTAGCCTCAAATCAGTGGTTTTCAACCTGTGGGTTGCGACACCTTTGGGGGTCGAACAACCCTTTCACAGGGGTTGCCTAAGACCATTGGAAAACACATATTTCCGATAGCGATTCATAACAGTAGCAAAATTACAGTTATGAAGTAGCAACAAAAATAATTTTATGGTTGGGGGTCACCACAACATGAGGAACTGTATTAAAGGGTCGCAGCACTAGGAAGGTTGAGAACCACTGCTCTAAATGAACGTTAGCCTTTCCGTCACTTATCAATGTAAGCAAAAAAAATCATAGTATTTAGGAGTACATGGGACTTGGTAAACAACAGAAATTAAAGATAATTTTATATATTACTGCTGTTACAGATACAATAAAATACCATCTTTGCTCATCAATATTTATCATGTCCCTTAGATCTGCTACCAGATCTTATAATGCTTTAAAAGATATATGTTTCTAGAACAAATATACAAGTGGCACATTACTTAAACCTCTGAAAGCAGAAATCAAAGCCAATTGTGGTGAAAGCACAGAAGCAACTTGATAATTACTACAGAACCCTCAACAGGTTCACATATGTCTGGCCATTAGGACATGGCTGGAACCAAAAACACAGGATTCTTAAAAGACTTTTTAGAAGTAGTTAACCACTCAGATCATCTCCTATTACTGCTCAGCCTGACCCTGCCCACTCTCCCACCACAGCATAAGACTGGGGTCCTGGGGAGAGTAAAACATAGGGTCTTGTATTGGGATACGTCATTTATACCTGAGTGAAAGCACATTGCTAAAAATGTGGATGTGATGTGAAAGCTTACACAGTGAATACAGAAGAATTCAATCAATTAATTCTATAAAATGTTCTAGGATGAAAGGCTGCAGACTTCCAGACTGAAAGGCTGACTCACATGTCCAGCACAAGTGACAAAAATAGACCCATGGTAAGGCAAATCATCATAAAATTTCAGAATTATGAGTATAAAAAAAAGATTCTACAGACTCCTAGAGAGAAATAGATTTCATACTAAGGATAGAGAATTAAAAAAATTTTTAAATAAAAGAAAGATGCCTTGGCCGCTGTGGCTCAGTTGGTTGAGCATTGTCCCATGCACTGAGAAGCTGCTTGTTCAGTCCCTAGTCAGGGCACATGCTTGGGGTTGAGGCCTTGATCTCTAGTGGGGGGATGTGCAGAAGGCAGCAGATCGATGTTTCTCTCTCTTCCTCTCCCTTCCTCTCTCTCTCTAAAAAAAAAAACAAACAAAAAAATCAATAAACACATTTTTTTCAAAAGGCATCAAACTTCTTAACACCACTGAAAAAAAAACAATAGGTCAATGCCATCAAATTCTAAAAGAAAATTATTTCAAACCTACAATTCTATACATAGGATTCAGACTATGAATTAAGTGTGAGGGTAGAAAAGAAACATTTCAAACATGCAACTTCTGAAAGATTTACCTCCCATCTAGTCTTTACCAAGAAATTATTAGAATCGCATCTCAGCCTTTTGGCTAAGATCAAGTGAAGAAATTATTAGAATCTGTACTCCACAAAACATAAGAATACACCAAGAGAAGGAAGACAGGGAAAGATAAGTGAGCTAAATCATCAACTTCCCTATCAAGGAATCAGTACAGATGTTCTAAAATGAACAAATCAGCCCTGACCAGTTTGCCTCAGCGGGAGAGCATCAGCCCTCGGATCAAAGAGTCACGGGTTTGATTCTGGCCAAGGACACATACCTTGGTTCTGATTCATCCCCAGTCCTGGTCCGGGTCATGCAGGAGGCCAGTCGACGTTGCACCCCCCCCCCCCACTCCTACTCTATCTGAAGATATTTCGGAAAATATCCTCGGGTGAGGATTAAAAAATAAATAAAATAAAAGAACAAATCAAGAAAATGCAGACATAGAATGAAAATGCTTCTACTCCACTAATGCTTTCTTCTTCTGGAGAAGTTCAATTAGTCTAATTCCTGGTCTCTCCACTGGTTAGTTTGTGTTCAACAGACTGGATATATTCAGCTCATTTCTAT